CTAATTGACCGTTCTGCTTTTTCATTATTGTAATTTGACTGATTTCTTATAATAGTTCAACTAGGCCACTTTGATTTCCAGTCTAGCACTTCTTTTATTTCCAATCTATCATCCTTAGTGTTTTCACATATTTTTCCTATAGTATCTTAATATAACCAAACGAATGTTCTATATCATAATTTTTTATTTATACTGATTATCTCCTTTCCTCCTATTCTTATTTCTTTTTCTTTTTTTTTTATATTATTTACAGCTGTTGATTTTACCATACTGCAGAACTAGAATTGACTTTTTCCTGGAATTTTCCCATCTTGATTGTGGAATCATGACTTTTTGCTTAATAATTGATTCTTACAGAGCTTATACTTTTTAATTTTCAGTCTTAATATTTTTTCCTTCCAGTAAGTTGATTAAATTTTCTTCTTTCATGAGAAATAGCTTCTTGAAAGTAAGTGCGCAGGAAGGAATCTTTTACTGGTTTATTTCCAGGTGATTTGGCAGCATGTCTGGTCATGCCTTGAGTTTCTGAGTTTGCTGCAGCCCCTGTTTATTGATTTAGGCTTTCAGTCTTTCAATTGCAGATGCATATGTGGGCTTGGGATGGGTTGTGGGGTTTTTTTTTGCTATCTTACTAATTTTTCAAAAGCTTAATCTATAGTACATTTTACTAAGCTGTATGTGCCGCCTTAATGTTCTAATTCACATCCCTATTTAATGCAACAATATTTATTGTTGCATTCATGTCATGTAGCTTGCTGTTTCACAAAGAAAAGGGTAAAGTGCTGGATTTAACAATCATTGCTAGCATGCTATACTTCCGAATCTTCATGGGTTTTCACTTGATTTTTGGCACGGACTTGCTTAGGAGCGTGCAGAAGATGGGTTTATCCCTAGTCGTGCTGAGTGTATTCACTGCAGTAGATCAGAGCACACTGTCGTCAAGAAGGGGACCGGAGCATCCTTTTTGTGGTGCTTCACCCAGTTCCCACGGATGAGAGTCCTTGCCATTGGGTTTGAGCAGGCTCTTGATTAACAGGTTCTAGTTATCGCAGTTCAGCTAGAAAACTTGCTCGGTGCTGTGAATGTAAAGCAAAATGCTTATTGCCTGCTGGCTGGCTGAAGGAATGCAGGGTGCTGCTTCATCTCAGAATTAGTTGTGTTTTCTGCTCATTACAGTGTCCTTCTGCTTGCAGATTTATGTAACATATTTGCTTTCCTCATTCATTAAGCACTGAATGGAAACAAATTTACTAATTACTGCCAGTGTCAAATCAGTTTAATTCCAGCATGTAAAGTTGTATTTGCCTAGCTTTCGTTGCCGTCACTTTTGGACAAGAGACAGGCCTATGGGCTAAGAGCTCTCTGTCTATGCTTCAGAAATGTGCTTGCCCATTTTTATTTCACATCCCTTGTTGCCTTCAAAGAGTAAATGCACTAGAATCAAGTGAAACAGTGGTTGAAAAATGGCAATCCGGGGCATAATCTCAATAACATATTGAAAACAGTACTGTCACGTATCTCGTGAGAAACATAATAGCTCTGCACATGTCATGAAAATTGTCTCTTGAGTTTTTATTTGGACTGCCAGATTTATTAATATCAAATTTCCAGGGTGTTCTTTTTACTACCATTATTTTTTTTCTTTCCTTTTTTTTTTTTTTTTTTTTTTTTCCAGATTTTTCTCTCATGTATCGTTTCTGAATGGGTTCTCACATGTTAGAGATTCATGCCTTAGAAAGTTAAACTGTTGTATTCATAGAGCTAAATGCAGTCCTGCAGGTTTTTCTGAAGTGGGCACATTTAGGTAGGAATAGCTTTGATGGCTCTCCAAGCGGTAGTTTACCACTTATCCCAGTGTTATTGATGGAGTCACAGTCACTCTGTGCTGTCCGTCTGCCCTGTTACCTCTCTGGTGCTAAGGTGTAATTCTTTTACTATGTCTAGCACATTGCTTTTCTTCTTATTCCATTTTCTTTCTGCTGGCTTTATGAAGCTGAAAATAATATCTTAATTGGTTATCGGCAGCCACAGGAAATTGAAAAATATACACTAATTAGCTCTGGCTCTTGGCTCTTTCAGATGAATATAGACGTTTTAGTCTCCCTAACACTTCTAGGGTCAATATTTCCAATTCCACACTGGATATATTAATGGGTAGAAGTGTTGTGCTCTACCGCATAGGATACAAATCTCATTTTCTAGGGAAAAAAGCCACATAATTTTATAGGGAAAAAAAAAACCTAACTTTCAGCCTCTGTTTTCCTTCCTGCTGACACTGTGTTTGTGTATTTATTAATTTAGAGTTTTTACAATTTGGGACAATAGCTTGCTTTTTAATAGGCTGAAATGATGTCAGGATTAAATACCATAAAAAGACATGAATAATTTGACAATTTGTCTTAAGATGCCACACGAGCGATAAACCTCCAGTAGACACCTCAAGAGGAAGTGTGCCTGGAGACGGATGGGACACTCTGCTACGTACTCACCTGCCAGAGTGACACCAGGCTGGCTGCTCGCATATTCTGCAGCAGAGGCTGCGTTTATTTGTGGAGTGAGATGGGGCGTTTATGTGCTACTCCTGGGAGTCTGATACCACTGAGTTAAGAAAACATTTTATGCCTGCTGAGAATGCAGTTTCAGTCTCTCCGGAAGAAGAAAGTTGTTCTGCTCCTGTAAGTGGAAGGCAAGTGTTGCGACCGCGGTGGAGCTGTCGTTTTTTTCAGCTGTGATATTCGCAGGGAAAGAAGCGCAAGCAGCGATGGCTGAAGGAAGCTTAGATGCAGGGACGCGGGGAGCAGGCTAAGTGTTTATGTTCCTTGCTGCTTATTTCTGACAAACACATTTTGCAGTTGTGCACGTATGTTTTTGTCCTTACAGGGCGAGTGTAGCTGGGTTGGAAGGACTGTGTGAATTGCTTCCTGATGTTTCAACTGAAGTCTTTCAAGTCAACTTGCACTTCGCTCGTGGGCGAAGCTTTGTGTAAAGATTGCCCTGCAACATGCTCTTCTCTTTGTTTGCCCCCTTCGGGTCACTTTGTGACTCAAACCCAAGAGTTTTAGTTATTTCTTTGTGGTGATTTATCTGTGCTAATAACAGGTATTCGGTCTTTATTTTACTTTCTGATGAATTCTTGTCCTTAATAGCCTGCCTCTTGCACTTTGAGTAACTCCCTTTAGCAGTATTCCTAGGAAAGACTAATGACCTGATTCCTGCATATCCGCAATTTAAGTAGACCATGTATGTGCCAGAGCCAAAAAGTAAATATACACAGCTGCATCCCAGAGTCTAGTAAATAAAGCTGGCCACGATAGTGGTTGTGTTTCTGAGACACATGCTTTGAAAAAAACTTTTTTTTTTTTTTGGACACAGTTTATTTTTGGTCCTGCCCCCAACCCCTGCCATCTCATTTAAAAAAAATTAATAGGGATGTAAACTACAGGACCCGACCATCTGTGCCTGTTAACAATACATCATTCCGCTTTGGAAAGAATTAGAATTATTTTCTCAAAAAATGTGGCCGAATTTTAATTTGGATTACACTTCCACTAGTTGCATAGATGTAATATTTCAGATAATTGGTGAATACTGCAAATCTTTAAATGTAAAGTTTAAATGTACTCATTTCTTTGTTTTCTGGGTGTTGTTACTTTAAGTGAATTTGTTGAAACCGTAGAAATCAATGTTTGTTATGAATAAATTCAAATTGAAGTAATTCACATTAATATTTCAAAAATTTCTTCCTTTTTATCTATAAAATGTAATCACTCTGTAGTGGCATTGGAAAATCAGAATTGCTTTAAATACGGTAAAAATTAGGCAGAAGAGGGCTGAAGAATATTATATATGTGAAAATGTACTAAGAAACCCCCTGACATAATGAAGAAAGAGGCGTGAGAAGCGACTAAGAAAGAAAGAACAACCTGGGCAGGAGGAATACGGGCGCGGAGCGTGGAAGAGCCGATCGAGGACGCAGCACGAAAGGGAGCCAGCGCTGGGGGGGGGGGGGGGGGGGATGTGCTGCAGTCGGTTCGGCGATGGTGGGGGGGCTTTGCTCATTTTTGAGAGGGTTGAGGGCTGACGCCAGCCGAGGTGGTGTATCGGGAGCGGTGCAGCGAGGCAGCGGGTACCCCCGGGGAGCCGGGAGGGGGACGAGGTGGCGCGGGTCCCTGGCACCGGTGCGCTGAAGGGCGAGCTCGTGGCTGGCGGGGCACGCTCGCCCGGCTGAGGATCCTGACCCACCCTCTCCCAGGGTTCACGCAGGGCCTTCGCGTCACGTCGTGTTGGTGTTTTGCCTGAACTACCCCCCCCCCCCCCAGGTTCGGTAGGTGCGGCGGTGCTGCTGTAGAGAAAAGGCGGAGTGGGCGATGCTTTCGCCGTGAAAGCACGGGCTTCGGAAAAAAAAAACAGGCTTGGTTCATGCGTAGCGTCTGCTGTGCGCCGAAGAAAATCCTCGCGCTTCAAAGAAATTAGGCTGGGTGTGGCTGTAAAAACTCGACGGCTTCTCCAGGCGCTCTCTCCTGCTGGGATCCTCTGCCTCAACCTGTGCGTGCCGCGGCTGGGCCGGCCGCGTGCGGTCCCCATCGCCGTGGAGGGAAACCGACGGCTTTAGCCTGCCCGGTGCTCCTCTGCTCACCTAGGCGTCTAACGCTGGTGGCACAAATCTGCTGGAGCCCCCCAGCGCGCCCTCCCAGTGCCTCCGAAGCAGGACGGGAGCAGACTCGGCTGGAGGTTATTCACACCCCCTGCTGCCCTTTCTTCCCATCCAGACCCCCAGTCAGTCACAGCGAACGTTGGTTTTAGCAGTTGCCTTAGTCCTTAGCCCAAAGGGCTGTATGTTAAGTCAGCCACTGAAATAATTTAGAGTCCTGAGTACCAGACGCCTTTTTCAACTCTTTCCTGTCTTTTATATTAATTAACTCTGTTTTTATTTGAACACTAGTAACATTTTTTTTTAACTTCAGTAACGATTTCTATCTACTATTTTTTTTTAACCCCAGAAACTACCTCTTCAGGTTGCAGCTTGAGGATCTCTCTCTAATACAGGTATGTTTTATGTTTGTTTTCTCAGTTCCTCTGCATGATGTGGGTAAGCAGATGTTTTAAAGCAGATAATTAAGATATTCATAAGCTTCATAACTGCAAGCCTCTTTGCGGCCCCGTAATATATGCCATATTATCCATTTTAATTCCAGATTAGCCTTTATCCCGGGCCCTAGAGACTTGATGTTACCTTACTCTGCTGTAATTTTGTTAGAGTGGATCTATAAAAAAACGGAGCCTAGGAAGGAGGATCACATTCTCTCAGAAAAATGTTTGAACTTATTACTGTGCTGCTTCTGTATTCAGAATGTATTGTTATTATATAGAAAATATATTAAAAATAATGATTAAAAACATTTCATTCACACTTACTAAAGTTAAATTAGGCAAACAAACCAGTAAATTTTCAAGGAAGAAATACAGTGCGAACACAGATATCAAAGTCTCAGTTTTGTATATATGCAGCTATTTATTGTTTAAAACTTGTTAGAGCTTGGAAGGTGAAACAAAGCCTGTTAGAGGCGGTTAGGCTTCACGGAAAGGTAAGTGCGAATCGCTGATCAATTTATTTTACCCTGAACTTCGTGTGACTTCCATATACCAGCAATTTCATCTTTTCTCAGACTGAGTGGTGTTCCTTGTTTAGGTTTGGTCGTTTTTCATTATTTTTAACCTTGGCATAATTTCTAGCCTTTATCATTCTTGTGTTCTTGGCTCTAAGAGTTGTTTCCGTACATTTAATTGAGTTGGCTACTTGATAAGGTGTGGAAATAGAAAATCACAATGAAATAGAAATGTATGGTTTTTCATAATCTTTTCATTTATGCAATTTAAACTTAACTAGCTTTAGACTCAACACCGTGCCTATTATTTTATTAAGTAATGCTATACGGTTGAACGTGGAAACGTAAAATGCATTCAGGTAAAGCTGTCCTTGTAATTTTTTAGAACACCTTGTGTATGCTTCCGTTAGGCTCGCAGACTTTCTTTACCTTCCCAGGCTACTAGAAACAAGACCTGAACTTGGCTTGCAATTACCGAAAATTGCAGTATTAATAAATATTCAGTTTTGTTGCTAGTGCTTAAGTCCGTGATGCACCAAGCCCTTTTCATACCCAGAAATCAGGCTGTCCACTTTCACCCTTTGTGACATACTCAGTATCTTGGCAAATACTTTAGGTTAAGTCCTGAAGGTTCTCGAGAGGCTGCACTCAGAGGTCTCTGATGGTGCTGTTGCAGTTTATTCTGCTAATTGATAGATGGAGGCTCACAGCTTTCTTCTGTTAGCATAAGTATTGGTAGGCTGAATTCACTAATGAGGGAGAAATCTGTAGATTACAGAGGTTTATAATTGTGCTGACTGACTCGAACAAACACACTCCCACCACAGTCAGCAAAAAATACAAAATGAGGACAGAAACCACACGGTTGATGTTATACTAGGTTACTAGGTTTCGGTCTTGTGAACATGCAGAAGTCTTTAAACAGTCTTCTCAAGCTGACTTTTGGTAAAGTTTCTTATTCCGTCTTCAGTGCTGTAGCATCACTGGTTTAGCTCTGTGTCTTCACACCTTTTCCCACAACCCTGTAGGGAGGTTCTATTTCTAAACGAAAACCAAAGTAGGTTTGTTTTTTATTTTTCTTTCACCAGCATATCTTTAGTACCCCTACTCCAAGTATTCAGGTTTTTCCCTTATTTTCAAACCTACCATTATGACCTCTTCATATTTTTCCTTCTCTTCCTCCTCTTCCCCTCTGCTTCCCCTCTGGTTCTAGTAGAGTGCCCCAGGACAGCCCTTTCCCAAAAGATGTGTTTCCATGGGTGTGCAGGTTACGGCAGCTCCACCCCAGCTGTGCGGTGGTGGAAGCCTTTGGTCTGGCACAAGTAAGCCAGGATGTGAGGTGTATGGTTTAGGACTCCCAAACTCCTTACACAACACACTCGGGTTGTCTTGTAATCTGGTATGAAAGTCTGAAGTTCGTCACTGATTTTGTAGTCATAAAATTGGGCTGGGGAGAGTCCTTGGGAGGCCATTTAGCCCCTCCGGGTACCCCAGAGCAGGGCCGTGGGTCAGTGCTGCTGTCCTCACTGGTGGTTACTTCTCTGAGCTCTCCTCACAAGTCTTCAGCCACAAAGATGCACAGCTTTTCTCAGCCTGTGTTGGGAAATGTTAAGACATGAAGACTGTCTCACGCTGGGAAGTGTGAAAGCTTTAGTAACGAAAAAGACAGTAGCCATTCCCGTGGAAACTCAGAATTCAAGTTTACCAGCCACCAACCTGAAACCCACCTTAGAGCCAAGAGCGTTTTTACCAAATGATTCACTGGTATTTACAGACCTTTGAGATAAGTTTTGTTGGAATGACAGAATCCTAGTTGCACTCCCAGTCATCCCAGTGTGTTCTATGGGATTATGTCAGGTATGACTGAAGTGAACTTCAGTTGCTGAAACCTTAGGGTATGTGAAGTTTCTCTCATTACATGTGGTGAAAGAAATATTTTGAATAGGATGAGGGGGATATAAAGTTTATCAAGTTAGCAATTAAAAATTACATTATTTTGAAGATCCGGATCTTTCAAACCTAAAACTCTATTATGGTTGAAAGAGGTTGGAACAAAAGTGAGAAGCAAAGTAAAAGTTATTTGAAATCCTTGCAACACAGAATGATGGAGTTTCAAAGGAGAAATAAAACATCCTGTGGTTTAACTCCTTAATATACTGTATTTGCTAGTTAGCATTTATTTGCCGAGGGACTGAACACTTTGACACTTTATCCATGGCCAGAAGAACTTTTCTTTTAACATTTTTTTCTTCACACAGTTGTTATAATGTAAAAATCCAGTTTAATTCTTCTGCTTATGCTGCTCACTTTGACTTCTTTGCACGAACCAGCCTTTGTAAAAATATGCAGATGTTTCACAAGCCAGTTAACTGTGTTTTTACACCTGGAAGAAAAGTCGTGTGGGGAAATGCTAGCTGTAAAAAGCTCTCAGTGTAGCACAATAACAATATGAAAGAAACAAGACAACTTATACATCTGTTGTTTAATTATTTTAGAGATTTGCTCGATCTCATTCTTTGCTATGGTGTGTCTGGAAGAGACAAATTATTGACTCTTCATCAGACGCATCAGATACTTCCAGCATGGAGGCAAGGATGATTGTTACAATTTATATCCTCCATTTCTACAGTTTTCAATTAGACTTTCATAACTGTTTCTTTTCTTTACATTGTTGCTTCGATTTTTTATTTTTTTTTTTTTAATTTTGATTAATAATTTAAATTTTTTTTTATAGTACTTTTCTAGCTGGAAAACAAAGGAAACGCCTAAAACTTCAACTTGACTGTTGATGCAGTTCAGTTATTTTTGTCTAAACAAGTTTCCTCATCTGTCATGCTTCAGTGTCTGTTGGAATGTGTTGTTAGATTGCCCACACACTGCTGTTACGAAGATAAAAGGCTTCATGTTACATGTAACAGATTGGAACACTAAGATTCATATAGTTATAGCAAAAGCATCTTTGCAAATCTTTTGTTTACAATTTTTCATATATTTTTGTAAATATAGGTATTTCATAAATAAAGTATTATTTTGGGATCTTATCAGATGTTGCAATGTTATCAGATGCGGTTTTGTAATAGGAAGGCTCTCTAAAAAGGAATGAAGTAGAATAATGACTCCTTCCTTTCAAACATTTGCAAAAATTACTTTGGGCTGAAATATCTGTACGCCCTGTTTTCTACAAATGTATACCTGGAAAATAGTTTCAAAACGCAAGATAACCTTCCTTTAAAAAAAAAACCTAAACCAGACATCCATTTGAAATGCAGGGTCTCACAAAAGAAATGCGGAACAGCGATTCATGTATTGAAAGGTTACTGTTCCCATCCGTTTAGTGAAAGTGAATCCCTGGTAAAAAGGGGGGGTTGGAGCGGTGCCGGGTCGCATCGGACAGGCTGGGCACCTAAACTCGAGCTCGTGGGACGCCAGGGCCCGCTGTGGGCACGTCAGAGCTGCCAGCCCACGTGTCGTGGTTCTGCGCTTTATAGGACAAGCCTGTTATTTGAGTAAGCAAGTTTCATACGATAGCGTCTGTAGCAAGCCAGTGTTTGATGTGTCTCAGCAATTCCCTTTGTGTAGCAGAATAAAGCAGAATAAAACGAGTGAAAGCCTTTTAAGCTCTTGCCAGAGACGCCTAAGAGTCAAATTGTTGCAAGCTGACTGTTGGAACAATGCGGGCAGGGCGACTGTGGATTAGGAAAGAAGCACTCGATGGGCCGTGGTTGGAGAAGGACAAACATTTTATAACTCTCACTACAGCAATAGTCGGTTCACAGACACAGAAGGCCTGACTCTGCATGGTTTTGCCGTGAGAGTTTTGCTTTGTTATTGCTCACCTCTAGTAATAGTAGAATAATCCATAAAAGCATTGGCCAAGATGAAAACTGGATTTCCTGAAAACTCTCTTATATGCTTTAAAATATAAAAGCAGAAACTTAAATACTAGTGTTTAAGTGTACAGTTATTTTTTTTTGTTGTTTTTTGTTTTGTTTTTTTTTTTTTCAAAAATGTTTTTAAAGAAGGTATCTAGCCAATGTCAGGACTAACAGGGGGGCCTTGACATCATGTAGAGGATGTCTCTAACAAGTGTCTATTTTTCCCTTTTTTTTTTTTTTCCTCAGAAACTTTAAAAAGAGAGGTTCTAAATTCAAACACTTGTTTGTGTCTACCTACACGCCAGGTTTGCTGATGTGTCTGTAGAGAATTAAAACCTAATACATGCTGGCTTCTAAAAGTGGTTATGCCACAGTTGCCATAAACAAGCATACATTACAAGTCAGAATGTATAAGCTTTTCACAAACCTGATGGAATGCATGCAGCTTTTCTTTGTCTGTAAGATTAATTTCTTCACAAACTCAGGTTGCTAAGGCATTTACAGGGCACATGCTTGAGTTTGCCTTTTTCATCTGAGTCTTCCCTCTATGAAGCCTGTTCTCAGT